TACAAGTAATAAGCGTATGGTGGATATATCCGGTAAGGTAAACAGAGCCTCGGGGTAACATGAGGCTGTGTTGACATGACAGTGGTGGGAGGAGGAAGACCCAGCAGGATGTGACCAACACAACTGAAGGATACCTAAAGTGAGGAAGTAATCTGTGCTGAAGGACTTCAAGGTAGGAGTCTTATAGAATCATGTCAACAGATACAGGATGAAGAGACTCAAGGGGCGCCGTAGAACCTGCTGGGAGTCTGAGGACGAGGGGCGCTGGCTGCACCAGAGCCTCCGAAGCCTCCACCAGTTGAACCTCCGAAGCCTCCACCAGTTGAGCCTCCAAAGCCTCCACCAGTTGAACCTCCGAAGCCTCCACCAGCTGAGCCTCCAAAGCCTCCACCAGTTGAGCCTCCAAAGCCTCCACCAGTTGACCCTCCAAAGCCACCCGCAGTTGAACCTCCGAAGCCTCCACCAGTTGAGCCTCCGAAGCCTCCGCCAGTTGAACCTCCGAAGCCTCCACCAGTTGACCCTCCGAAGCCTCCGCCAGTTGAGCCTCCATATGATCCACGTCCACCTGAAGCAGCCGCGGCGGCGTCCTCCTGACGAGCCTTCTCGATCTGGGCGATGGCGTGGGCGGGGAGGGGCGGGGGCGTGGGCAGCAGGTCAGACTCCACGCGGTAGCCGTACTCGTCTGCTACGAAGTTGAAGACAGCGGGAGTTCCATCAGGGAACGTAAACCTGCAACCCATAATATTATAATTAGCTTCATCACCAACAGCTAAAAGTTTCAAACTATCAACAAAAAATATATTTCATCTCTACGTCATTGTGTGTTGTTATTGGTTACTCACGACCATCCTCCCTGAGACGCCACGGCGCCAGTCTCCCCCTGGGGGGCGCCCTGCTCATGACGACTGATGCCGTCACCAGTCTCGAACTCGAAGTTGTAGTTGCCGAACTCATCAGGTCCCTGACGCTCGTCCCTCAGGATGGGGACTACAGGACCTGAAGGTTGGTAGCTTCCCCTGGCAGAGCTTCCACTTGCTGCACCCCCGAAGCCTCCACTCGCTGCGCCTCTAAAGCCTCCGCCAGCTCCTCCGAATCCTCCAGTAGCCGAGCTTCCGAAACCTCCGCTACCTGCACCCCTAAAGCCCCCACTACCAGGTGCGCCCCCAAAGCCCCCACTACCAGGTGCACCTCCGAAACCCCCACCAGGTGCACCTCCGAAACCCCCACCAGGTGCACCTCCGAAACCCCCACCAGGTGCACCCCCGAAGCCCCCACCAGGTGCGCCCCCAAAGCCTCCAGCAGGAGAACCTCCACTGCCTCTCCTAGGTGGGCCGTAAGAGGTAGATGGGAGCTCCGCGGCTCCCACAACCACCACCAAGGCACACAACACCGCCTTCTGTTGAACACAAGAAAACTTTACATCCTCTCTCAGAATAATAGAGTCGATAGTAAATTCCATAATACTAACTCATTCTATTTGTGTTTGTGAACCCAATAGAACACATGCACGAATAGGAAGACTAGTAAATTAAAAGATTGGTTGAATTATATGGACATACTCCTGCTATACACATTTACTTGCCTCTATCTAACAATTTAATAAACAAATGTCAAATCTATGGCCAATTATGATATTATTAATAAACTAAAATTATTCTGTTATTACATTCTATCAATCTTCAGTGACACATCAGTTCATCATTACGTCAGGTAACAGCCAATCAAAAGTGTTCCGGGGAAGATAGACGTGGGAGATCTGTACTTCTATACCTGTAACTTTTATACCTGTAACTTTAATACAGTAACTCATATAAATATGTACTTTATATAGCCAGTGGTGCTCTTACCGAGATCATGTTGGCCTGAAAGACAATCGAGAGTGAGTGTGGAGCTTCTCAAGTGACCCGACGCTTATATACCCGCCCGACCAGCCCAGACCATCACGACCCTAAGGTGAAACACTCAAAGAAAACGGATCCAGTTGAAGGGAAAATTGAACCAGGCCAGATGAGAGAGAGAGAGAGAGAGAGAGAGAGAGAGAGAGAGAGTTTTAAAATGAGTCTTAATTCGAAATAAGTAGATGGAATTCCTTATTTTTCATCTATATAAAAAATACGAATCTTGTAAATAAAACCAAACAATAACAACTTAAAATTTATTTTCTTAAAGACAAAAAAAGGGGGAAATAAATTTATTCCTATTTTAGTATTTCCTAAACAAACTAAACTGAACTGAATTAAACTAAACTAAACTAAACTAAACTAAACTAAACTAAACTAAACTAAAATAATTCAGCTGGACAAAAATATATTTCTCACAATACAAAATACTGATACACAAGATTTATTTCACCTGAAGATTAACCACCCTGACGCTACATGGGTGAGGTGAGGTGAGGTGAGGTGAGGTGAGGTGGGGTTGGGTTAGGTTAGGTTACCATTAGGGTGATTAATCTCCAGGTGAAATAAGCTGGGGTGTCTAATCTTCAGGTGACCCGATGTGTATCTGTTCCAGGGAGTCAGACCAAAAACTGACCGTGACATCAAAATAAATAAAGATAAATAAACAAACAAAATCTCTCACTGTATAACTAAACATTAATTAATCTTTCAAGTGGCCATCATTATCTCTGAGGGATGGCGACCACAGCCCTCTTCACCAAACGACTTGAGGATGTTTTTTTACCAATCTTTTTACATATTGTTTTCATCTCTCCAATACCATAGGTTAATAATTTCAATCTATCATTCAAGCTTTTGTTTATTACCTTCAATTATTACCTATTATTATTTCTTCTATATTTTATTATCCTTATTTATCGAAAGTTTATATATTTTTCTTCGTATTCTATAAACTCAGTCTATATTTTTTTTCGATAATAAAAGAAGTTATTTTCTGGTCTATCTGTACACGACTCAGAACCATTAACCATTGTTAGCCAGTACTACCAGCTCAGAGTACACACCTTAGCCAGTACTACCAGCTCAGAGTACGCACCTTAGCCAGTACTACCAGCTCAGAGTACACACCTTAGAACAGTACTACCAGCTCAGAGTACACACCTTAGCCAGTACTACAAGCTCAGAGTACGCACCTTAGCCAGTACTACAAGCTCAGAGTACACACCTTAGCCAGTACTACCAGCTCAGAGTACACACCTCCTCCTCTTGAGTCATTCATCATCCAACACAGCCTCATTTAGTTTCCCGCCACAACAAAAACTTTCGGAAATGATAACTCGAAATGTATTTATGACTCTTATTTTAGCTCTTCAATCTTCACAACAAGTAAAACAGGTTAAATTTATCGTTATGGTTCGTTTTAGACGTACGTGCGTACGTACGTGTGTGTGTGTGTGTGTGTGTGTGTGTGTGGATCTTGATGTGGGGAATGTATACTCACTTTTCCGCCTCATTTCTCAGAGAATAATAGACGACTTTCAGGAACAAGTGACAGGTGAGGTGAGGTGAGGTGAGGTGAGGTGAACATTGCATTAGAACATAAGAAAATAAGGAGTCTGCAATAGGCCGGTTGGCCTGTGCATGGCAGCTCCTGTAGAGAGTTACTACCACTCTCTATCATCCATGAATCTATCCAGTCTCCTTTTGAAACTTTTCAGCGTTCCAGCAATTACTACAAGGTTGCTAAGCTTGTTCCACTCGTCCACCACTCTATTTGTGAAGCAATTCCTTCCTATCTCCCTCCTAAACCTAAAATTATCCAACTTAAATCCGTTGCTCCGAGTCCTATCCTGCTCGGATATTATAAGAACTTTATCTATAGCCCCTTTATTGATTCCTTTCACCCACTTAAATACTTCTATCATATCTCCCCGCACTCTTCGTCTTTCTAGGGAATGCAAGTTAAGTTTCTTTAACCTATCCTAATATGGAAGGTTTCTAAGTCCCGGAATCATTTTCGTCATTCTTCGCTGCACCGACTCTAGTGAATTGATATCCATTCTATAATAGGGGCACCAGAACTGAACCGCATAATCGAGGTGCGGCCTGACTTGCGCAAGATATAGTTGCAATAAGACCTCTGCACTCTTGTTACTTACACTTCTAGATATAAAACCCAATACTTCTAGGTATAAATCACCATGTTTACCTGACGACAAATAAACAAGACAGACAAACACACAACAACACCCATCAATAACAGCAAAAAAACAATCACATCAAAATATTTCTTTACCACGAAAGTAATTTTTTACATCAAGAAAAATGTCAAATCAAAAGTTTCTTGACCTTGAGGCTGTTAGGTTCATTCCCGGTGATAAAAGACTCAAATGAAGGTATTATTTACAAATCAAGACTAATTATGACCAGGTAATTGTGCCCAGGTGTAAGTCTTTCAGGAACATAAATAAACGAACAAAGCAAAAACAAAACGATTAAAAGCAAAAAAAAATGAAAGTAGTTTTAATATTTTCTAGGACACAAATTATCAATATCACGTAGAAGAGAAAATTATATAAAGTAACAAAACTATTAATTCATAAATGGAGCGTTGAGGTGATATTCAGTTAGGCCCTGATTGGTGATGACTGGTGATGGTGAGGGGAGACTGGTGGTGACTGATGATGGTGAGGGGAGACTGGTGGTGACTGGTGATGGTGGTGATGAGACTGGTGGTGACTGGTGATGGTGGTGAGGGGAGACTGGTAAGACTGGTGGTGGTGGTGATGAGACTGGTAAGACTGGTGATGGTGGTGATGAGACTGGTGGTGACTGGTGATGGTGAGAGATCTCTGGTTGGCGGTTGTCATCAGATGCGGTAATGACACGACGTCTGCCGCCACCATCAGCAAGTTCCCTACTTCCGTGACGTGGGCGTTCCTGTACGCCTGCAGACCGACGGAGGCCTCAGTTCACAAGCCGGGACTTTGCTGTGTTCCTTGACCGATGGGAGTCCATGTGTTGTCATCGCCCCAGTACCCGCAGTCCAACGGCCACGCTGAGGCTGCTGTCCAAATCCTGAAGCACCTCATCCTAAAGGTGGCCTTCTGGGAACATTGACTCTGAAGACCTTGACGGTCTTCTTGAACTCCATAACACACGAACTACACGGACGCTCCCTGCCCAGGTTTGTATGGACCCCTTCGTTCTTGTCCTGCTCACCCTCAATCCTTCTCAAGGAGTGGCAGGCCATGACAGAATTGTGATCGCCGAGCCGCCTGAACATGTTCAGGACGTCGTCGCCCTACAACGACCACGCCGTTCTCTCCCCAGGTTGAGTGTCGGCACCCAAGTCCGTGTTCAGGACCCGACCTCCCTACGTTGGGACAAAGTAGGCGTAGTCATGGGTCTCGGCAAGTCACAGGACTACCAGGTGCGGTACCGAGTGGTCGTGTGGTGGAGGACGCCGTTTTCTCCGCCCGTAACAATCCTTCTGGCCCCGCCACCAGTGTTGAGTCCATACCCTTCCCAGTGATGAAGTCCCTCGACGCTCAGAACGGATCCAGAAAGGTCCGCTCAAGACTTTGCTATGGCGTATGGGAGAGAGGTGTATGTATATTATGTATGCTGGATTATGTATTATGTATATATTATGTATGCTCATTTATATTTATTCAGCCTAGCTAACGTGTAATGTTATTACCATATCACATGCTTAATTAACCTGGCGACGTATGAAGCTGCTAATGTATCACTTGCCATACGTCGTCTATAGCAGTTGACAGGCCTAGCTGGGAGAGTGCTACTCCTTTGTGTACATACTCTTATCCAGTAAACCAGACCTACAAAACTATACAGGTGTTTGTGTTCTCTCCCTGTATATGAACTTATTACCCAGAACACCTAACAACTGGGAGTGTCAGGGTGTACCTGGAAGTGTCAGAGGTGTACTGGGAGTGTCAGAGTAGTACCTGGGAGTGTCAGAGGTGTGCCTGGGAGTGTCTGAGGTGTGCTTGGGGTGTCAGGGAGAACCAGGGAGTGTAGAGGTGTGCCTGGGGAGTGTCAGAGGGTGTACCAGGGAGTGTCAGAGGTAAACCAGGGAGTGTCAGAGGTGAACCAGGGGTGTCTGAGGTGTACCTGGGGTATCAGGAGGTGTACCTGGGAGTATCGGAGGTGTACCTGGGGAGTGTCAAGGTGTGCCTGGTAGTATCATTGGTGTGCCTGGGAGTGTCAGAGGTGTATCTGGAAGTGTCAGGGTGAACCAGGGAGTGTCTGGGGTTTACCTGCTAGTATCAGGTGTGCCTCTGGGAGTATCGGAGGTGTGCCTGGGAGTGTCAGAGGTGTACCTGGTAGTATCATTGGTGTACCTGGGAGTGTCAGAGGTGTATCTGGAAGTGTCAAGGTATGCCTGGGGTATGAGAGGTGTGCCTCTGGGGATGTCAGAGGTGTGCCTGGGTGTGTGAGAAGTGTGCCTGGGAGTGTCAGAGGTGTGCCTGGGGTGTCGGAGGTGCCTGGGAGTGTCAGAGGTGTGCCTGGGAGTGTCAGAGGTGCACTTGGGAGTGTCTGGGTGCCTGGGAGTGTCTGGTGTTGCTGGGAGTGTCTGGGCTTTACCTGGGAGTGTCTGAGATGTGCCTGTGTCTGAGGTGTACCTGGCAGTGTGTGGTGTGCCTGGGAGTGTCAGGGGTGTCTGGAAGTGTCAGAGATGTGCCTGGGAGTGTCAGGGTGTGCCTGGGAGTGTCATTGGTGTGCCTGGGGTGCCAGAGGGTGTGCCTGGAAGTGTCAGGGGTGTGCCTGGAAGTGTCAGAGGTGTGCCTGGATTGTCTGAGGTGTACCTGGGATTGTCAGGGTGTGGGAGTGTGGGGGTTGCTGCTGGGAGTGTCAGGGGTGTGCCTGGGGAGTGTCAAGGGTGTGCCTGGTGTCTGAAGTGTACCTGGGAGTGTCAGAGATGTAACTGGGAGTGTCGGAGGTGTAATGGGGAGTGTCAGAGGTGTACCTGGGAGTGTCAGAGGTGTACCT